TTTTCGCGTTTTCTATAAGTTTTACAGACTGACTCACACAAAAGGATATTCACAAAAAAAAAAATCACAAATCAGGGAACATCCATCGCATAGGTTCGAACCCTCATCAAGACCCTTGTGGATTTGCTAAAAAAAAACCATTAGTAACATCCTATGGAACTGGAGGTGAGGAAATGATCACTAGAAAGTGCTAAACCATTATGTCTGCATAGCAGTTAAGGACAGGAGAGAAAATAGGATATGAAGGGGGTGAAAAACTGTGCCAAGCCCCTTGAAACATTTGGGGATCGAGCGCCGACCTGTAAGAAGCAAGGCGGTCGTTGTTTCGACCAGTCCAAGAGAACAAGAGAATGAGGAACACTTCTTACGTGTATAAGAATATATGAGTGTGCGCACCCGCGTTCACTCACATATACTCTTCTACCACCACCTATATATTATGTATTTTATTGTTTTATTTTATTTAAAATTTCATTACACAAAAGGGGGTTACAACATTGGTTACATGCAGGGCACAAGACTACTTGTCACAAGTTGTAGAGCTCCTCCAGCTCCTCAGATGGTGGGCAGGAACCATGGATGTAGTGAGCATTTCCTCTCTGGATTGCCACACTAAGGCGCTGAAAGAGGAAGCTGGCGACTTTAGAGTCATTTGTTGATTTAATTTTCTTAGAACCCAGGTCCTGAAAAAAACTAGCAGGAATTTTACTCCAGGCACCGAGTGCCTCTGAGACAATGGAGACAAAATTGAAGTGGTGATCAAGATCTCTGAATTTACAAAAATTGGCTGCTTCCCTGTGAGTGGCAGCGCCACCCGGATGTGCAACACTGTAGTCAATGTAGGTGTTAGCCAGGGAGGACATGCACGTGATCTTCATTCTACTTTGCTCTGATGAAGACGAATTAGCCGAAAACGCGTTAAGCATTCTCTATTTTTCACACGTGGTTATTCTGCATACTTGGATCAGTGTTTTTGTGATCATTGTTGCATATATATATATATATATATATATATATATATATATATATATATATATATATATATATATATATATATATATATATATCTTAGAAATAGTGCTTATGTTGTGATGGCATACTTTATATTTTAATATTCAGAACTGATTTTCAGGTAATCACTCACACACTCAGGGGGGCTGATGGCTGAGTGGACAGCATGCTGGGCACGTAATCTTGGGGTCCGGAGTTCGATTCCCGGCGCCAGCGAGAAACAATGGGGAGAGTTCCTTTCACTCTGATGCCCCTGTTACCTAGTAGTAAATAAGTACCTGGGAGTGTGTATGTGTGTGTGAACACAAAATAAAAAAATAATTATTTAGTAGGTAGTAACAGTTGATTGATTGACAGTTAAGAGGCGGTCCGAAAGTGCAGAGGTCAACTCCCGCAAGCACAACTAGGTGAATACACTCAGAAAACCTTTGACACAGTACCACGCAAGAGACTAGTGCACAAGCTGGGGATGCAGGCAGTAGTGAAAGGGAAGGTAGTAACACCAGAGGGGAGGGCAACCCCACCACCCTCCTCTACATAGAAAACCCACCTACCCCAAACCCCCTCCCCCCTGCCCCCACTCAAATGCTCAGTCAAACCTGCCTCCCCCCACACCCCTCCCCTGCTACCTCTCCCCTCCTCCTGCCATGTCCCCCCTCCCCCCTTATCCTTCTGGTCCTCCCTCCCCCTTCATCTCGTACCCTCCCTGTTCCCGCTCCTTCACTTGACCCCCCCCCCCTCACCCCAGTATCCTCTGAGACCCTGTTATCCACCTCACAAATACTCACACCCATGGAACAGCTTCCCCTACCAGCAGAACACTCACCAAGGAGGCAATCTGAGAAGGGACAGAAGAAAGTGAGCCTCAAGGCAATGTACACTAACATAGATGGAATTACAAATAAAGCAAATGAACTTGAAGAATGGTTACTAGAAGAAAACCCAGACATAATAGCGCTCACAGAAACAAAGCTAGCGAAAACCATTACAAATGCAGTGTTCCCACAGGACTATTATGTTATGAGGAAAGAGAGAGAAGGAAGAAGTGGTGATGGTGTAGCCCTGCTGGTAAGAAAAGGCTGGGATTTTGAGGAGATGGTTACTCAGGGCTGTGAAAGTTTCAGTGACTACATAACAGGTACCATAACAACTGGAGGACAAAAAATTATAGTTGTAGTCATATATAATCCACCACCAAATGACAGAAGACCCATACAGGAATATGATAGAAACAACATGGCCACCATTAACATAATAGAGAGATCAGCTTCTGTTGCTAGCAGGAATGGATCTGGACTACTTATCATAAAATACGCCATAATTACGTTGAAAATGTTTATGTGATGATCTCCATCGATGAACTAGATCGCCAGTGTCTTAATAATAAAGAGTTAGAAGTTACCTTTTCGCGTTTCTATAAGTTTTACAGACTGACTCACACAAAAGGATATTCACAAAAAAAAAAAAAATTCACAAATCCGAGAACATCCATCGCATAGGTTCGAACCCTCATCAAGACCCTTGTGGATTTGCTTAAAAAAAAACCATTAGTAAATCCTATGGAACTGGAGGTGAGGAAATGATCACTAGAAAGTGAAAACCATTATGTCTGCATAGCAGTTAAGGACAGGAGAGAAAATAGGATATGAAGGGGGGTGAAAAACTGTGCCAAGCCCTTGAAACATTTGGGGATCGAGCGCCGACCTGTAAGAAGCAAGGCGGTCGTTGTTTCGACCAGTCCAAGAGAACAAGAGATGGGGAACACTTCTTACGTGTATAAGAAATATTGAGTGTGCGCACCCGCGTTCATCACATATAATCTCTACCACCACCTATATATTATGTATTTTATTGTTTTATTTTATTTAAAATTCATTACACAAAAGTGGTTACAACATTGGTTACATGCAGGGTACACGGCTACTTGTCACAAGTTGTAGAGCTCCTCCAGCTCCTCAGATGGTGGGCAGGAACCACGGATGCAGTGAGCATTTCCTCTCTGGATAGCCACACTAAGGCGCTGAAAGAGGAAGCTGGCGACTTTAGAGTCTGATGAAGGCGAATTAGCCGAAAACGCGTTAAGCATTCTCTATTTTTCAAATGTGGTTTTTCCAAATACTTGGATCAGTGTTTTTGTGGTTATTGTTGCATATATATTAAATATATATATATATATATATATATATATATATATATATATATATATATATATATATATATATATATATATATATATATATATATATATATATATATATATATATATATATATATATATAATATATATATATATATATATATATATATATTTAAAATATAATATATATATATATATATTATATATATAAATATATATATAAAATATAAATATATAAATATATAAATAATATATATATGTATATATATATATATATAATATATATATATATATATATATATATATAATATATGTCGTACCTAATAGCCAGAACGCACTTCTCAGCCTACTATTCAAGGCCCGATGTGCCTAATAAGCCAAGTTTTCATGAATTAATGTTTTTTCGTCTACCTAACTACCTAACCTAACCTAACCTAGCTTTTTTGGCTACCTAACCTAACCTTACCTATAAATATAGGTTAGGTTAGGTTAGGTAGGGTTGGTTAGGTTCGGTCATATATCTATGTTAATTTTAACTCCAATAAAAAAAAATTGACCTCATACATAGAGAAAAGGGTTGCTTTATCATTTCATAAGAAAAAAATTATAGTAAATATATTAATTCAGGAAAAACTTGGCTTATTAGGCAAATCGGGCCTTGAATAGTAGGCTGAGAAGTGAGTTCTGGCTACTAGGTACGACACATATATATATATATATATATATATAATATATATATATATATATATATATATATATATATATATCTATATATATATATATATTCTATATATATATATATATATATATATATATATATATATAGCGGGGGTACCACCACTGGTTTAATTAAAGGGACCCACATCCTCGAAGAAGAAAATAAATAGTGTTCAGAGAAGACCTTGTGGATTCTCACTGAATACTTTAATCTTTTCCTCTCCTACCACCCCTATTAGTTTTTTTTGTTTTTATTTGATTTTATTGCAATGTTACAGTTTACAGAAAAACACACACTTATATAAAAATATACCAATCAGTGTTCGAAGACCTCGTCCAGTTCCTCGGGGGTCGGGTGCGTACCAAAGATACAACACGCATTTCCCCTCTGAACAGCGACACTGAGGCGCTGGAACATAAAACTGGCCGCTCTTGGGTCTCTAGTCTTCCCAATGAGTTCCTCGCCCAGCTCATTCAGGAACTTAAGTGCACATTTACCCCAGGCGCCCAGAGTCTCAGAGCCTATTGGCACGAACCTGTAACAACGTTCTAGGTCCCTGTACTTGTTAGTTTTCTGGGTCTCCCTGAAGGTGGCCGCCCCGCCTCCCTCAGCTGCGCTGTAAGGTAGATAGGTATCAGCCAATGTGGATGCACACGTGTAGTCCCACACGACCCTGTTACCTTCCCTCCACGGCTGCAGGGTGTGACTCCATCTGGGCGTTTTTGGCTGTTGTCAGCGCCTGCACAACTGAGGTTCCCTTTGTGCTGGGCCCCAGCTGAAGCCCAAACTTCTCTTGATGATGTCATTGACTGCTTCATGTCTGGCAATCTTTCCCTGTGTCTTACGACAGATGAGAGACCATGGCTGCCGTATTGGTCTGCCCGTGCATGGCCGCAAATACACCGGTGCTCGGTGGAGATAGGGGCGGCAAGGCGCCAGAGTAACACCAATACTTAGGGTCCGATGGTCCAGGCGGGTGCCCAAGGTGGAATTAGGGACTGCCAACAGGAAGTCCCCGGCCCATGGGGAGCTTGCACAGCTAGAAGACGCGCTTTGTCCTTCCTGGAAGCTGCCTCAGCAATGATGTGGCGATGTTCTCCACTATGGGGCTATCCCATTTGGGACTGTTTGCAG